CACAGCCCAACTGCCTGCACACCACCATGGCGTCACGCAGGTCCCAGGAGTCGTCACACACGGTCCCCCAGGAGCCGCTGTGATACACCTCCACCCTCCCAGAGCAAGTGTCTGTACCCCCTGTCAGTCTCAGGGGCAGATGGTCTAGTGGGGACACAGGAGACAGCTGAGGTTATTTGGAGCGGAACTCAGAGGGGACAGTACAGTTAATACATACATCATTTCCCGAATAAAAATATAGTTTAGGTGCAATAATCACATCAATTTCCACTTAATATATTTAATCTTAAGTCTGAATAACATAGTAGCTTTAATTCTCATTCTTTGTATTATTCAAGGGCTTTTAAAACACATTTACACTATAAATCTGCAAATGAATCAAGCAAGAAACTTACTGTTACAGAAGTTTAGATCTGAAGTTCTGCAGAGCATGAAGTCTAAAGGCGATTTCAACTTTTCAGCATCTACAATAATCAGCAAGATAGAGAAATAAAACATGGTTCATGGAACTTATTACAATACACTAAAACCTTGGATTGCAAGTAACTTGGTCTGCAAGTGTTTTGCAAGACAAGCAAAAATTTTTAATAAATGTTAACTTGATTAACGAGCGAGGTCTTGCAATACGAGTATTATGTATACGCTTTGTCTGCCTAGTGTCTCGTGATCACAACTCAGCCGATGGTTCTTCTCTCTCTCTCTCTCTCTCTCTCTCGCTGCGGGATTGTGGGTAATCATTTCCCATTCAGCATGCCTCACTGATATAGTCAAAATTTAGTGGAAAAGCACCACCTGAATAAGGGCGTTGCAGTGCGAGTGATGAATCTGTTAAATGACAATGCAATGTCCACATTTCCACAAAATCGAAAAGGAGGCAAAAGCGACTGTCATTGGATTGGTTCCTTGTTAAAGTCGCGCAAAAAGAAGATTCCAGTGAGCCAACAGATAGCAGTGATTCCGTTAGTTATAGAAAAAGTCATCCTACAAAATAACCTTCCTCTTCTCCTCTCTCTCGTCTCCCTCACACCATCCACGATTCTTTACAAAGGTAAAGTACAGGATAATTTGTTTTATGTTTGCATTATTTTTACTTTATAATTTGTAGTAATCATTTTTATATGAATATTTTTTGGTTGTGAAATGAATCATCGGAGTTACCATTATTTCTAATGGGAAAATTCGCTTTGATTTTGGTTTGCTTTGGATTACAAGCACGTTTCCAGAACAAATTATGCTCGCAAACCAAGGTACCACTGTAAAAAAGTAAAGAGGCTTCACCTGAGCAGCTTGTTCTGGCAGCTTCTGAGCAGCCATTTGGCC